CGTTCGCATAAGAAAGGGCAGTGTCGAGCAAAACTGGAATGTCCTTTTCTTCCTTTTTTACCTCATCGCGGTCAAACCTCTTGGACACTAGTGATATCCCGTACCTTTTTCGGGCAGGGAGCCTCCCTCCCCTCCCCCCCCCCCCCCAAGGAGCAAGGAGTGTGTTCAACACAAGAGGCACGTTGTTCCCGGCCAACGGCAGACGAGTTATTCCGTCCCAGCGCCGGGTACCTATCGGCTGCCATCCTGGCGACACGGGGCGGAATCTCTTGGTAGATCCGGGGGCCCTTAGAGGGATGCAACATTCAGTGCTCTCCTCCCTGACGCGGGAGGCCCTCTGACCTGGGCATTTGGCCCAAATCGATGCAGGTGCTCTCGTTGACACAAGATCTGCATTGCCGCATGTGGTCCAATAATTTGCAGATACTCCAGCATGGCTTCGGACCCTTTAGCTGAAATGGGATGGAGTGCCCCCCCCCCCCCCCCCCGTTTCGCTCTATAGGCCCTCACTGACACAATGCCCTTCCGTTGTTTTTTTTGTGGAATAGCCGTAAGCCCGCATTTCTCCTTTCATTGTCAGAGGGCCCCGACCACCGCAAGAGGCCCTCTGGCACTTGGGTTTACGTCCCTGTCCGCATTCAGCAAATGCTCCCCATGGCAGACTCGGGACCCCCTGCCGACACAGGGCAAGGGCCCACACACATGACCTCTGGTGTTCACCTTGGGGGCCCTGACCGACAAGCGACCCTCACTGTTCCAGGGTGACGGCTAATGTTAATCGCGAACCCCAGTGCTGCTCCTGCCTGGGAAATAGGCCCCCAGGACTCAGATCGACACGAAGCCAACTGTTCAGTGCTGTTGACTTCTGGCAGTGATAGGTACCTGCATCGTCTCAGGCGGTTCGCAATCGGTGCAAAAGGCGCATGACATTTTAGGTTACGACCCTATGGACCGGGAGCCTCAATGTGACTTACCTTTAGCCCTTCGGGCCCTTCAGCCTTCCAATCGAGCCCTTGATCGCCGGTTCCGAAGGGGCCCATCGGGCTCCTCTTCGGGGCCCCCTGGAACACTGCCTATGGCCGTTTTGGGGTCCCTTACCAGCTCGAGACTCATTATTAGTCACTGTGGGCCCCTGAGCGACACAGGGGCTGCGAACAGTGTAAGTCGCGGGCCTCAGCTTTGCACCTACCGAGGAACTGGGTCCTCAGGATCGCACCGACTGTTCGGTACCGGTGGTGCCTGAGCGACATAGAGGCCCTCGTGGGCTCAGGGGCCACCAATCGGCGCGAACGGCTCTTACTGGCATTTGAGCACCCGGTCCCCTATTTCGACCTTCGAAAAGCCCTTCGAGTCCTCAACTCTGGCCTTTAATTGCCGGTTCAGGGGCCCTTCGGGCCCCTCGGGACCTAGGTGGTATATGTTTATACGTGGCCTCTATGTCCCTCCCTGCCCGCACCGCTGTGACGATAAGAGTATGTTGTACAAAGCACTCAAGTCTAGTGGAAACATGACAACAGACTTCGGGACACAAGATGAAACTGGTATCAGCCGTCATTATTGCCAAAGACTACGCAAACGTGACTTCCTTATGGTATGCTGGGGGCGACCCAGTGGCACTTCCTGGTATCTTGCACGTTGATAACAGGTCCCGCGCTTCGTAGCGCATTTTTGCTGTAGCCTGCGAAGGTGTCACTTAAACTCAGCAGGCTCCAAAAGCTCGCCATGTGGCCGGCGAGGATCGATCGTCGCACAGGGCTGCCAGACTTTTGACTTGGTCCCGACTCTAACCGCCGATGTGCGCGGCCTGTCGCAGCGGCATTGATGGTGGCGCTGCGTGCATCGGTGTGTCACTTGTCGGTATTTCAGGCCGTCGCCAGAGGCGCAGGGGCTATGTCATCCGCATCGACACGCTCGCGCAACGCCTCCCCCTCCACACGCACAGTATAACAGCGTCTCACACAACCACGCGCCGCTGTGTGCTGCGGGATGTGTATACGCTAGGCCCGGCTTCCGAGCTGTCTCGACGCCGCCACCGATAGCTTGCTCTCAGAGCGGCATCTGTTGGCGCCGCTGTGCATCGATCGCGTTGTTTTTCTGTTTGGCGCTCGGCCGTAAATACACGGGCGTGGTGTATGCGGGGCGCGACCAGTGGCCCCGGGCGCCCGGTCTCCGGAGGCGGGCCGGCCCAAACGGGCGCGAGCTGGTGGGTCGGCCGATGGGCCACTCAACAGGCGGCGGCCGGTGCAAAAGTGGCGTGGCTCGAGATCGGACAGGGGGAAGGGGGCCTGGTCGTGGCAGAGGCGCTGCGGCGTGCGGGGTGGAATAGGACGGGACTCGAAGCCCGCCAGACTGAGTTGATCTTCTTAAGTTCGAGACGCCCATCTGGGTCAGAGTGGAGAACCAGACGACCAGGCGTCATCGCGACCTCTCGCTGTGTCAGAAATGCCCGAACGGAGCTCCGTCGGGCCGAACGGGATGCACCTGAACCGACAGAGCTCCACTGCAGCACCTCTGCTCGTTCAGCACGCGACGAAATACGACACTGCTGGGCTGCCGCGGAGTTATTCAATCTGCCCGTGGACAATCCAGTTCTCATCTCCGGTGGCTTGTAGCAGGATTTCGCCCGCTCTCAGCACCAGGCAGTGCGGGCGAGAGCCTGGCGGGCCTCGGGTAGCCGGTTCTGCGTATGGCGGTATTGGAATTTGCATATTGCAGCCGCTCGGGAAAGGTCGGCATGCGGCGACAGACGCCGACAGACGCCGACATGGAATTAAACCGACGCCACCCGCCATGGACAGCGCTCGACCAAGTGGCTGGTCGAGGCGACTGGTGGCCGTCCTGGCTTTCCGATACGCTTTATATTTTGGCTTTATGGATGGGAGCTGAGACAAACTTTGAACGTCAAAAGCAAGCGTGCTTATTGGCTGTCACCCATACTTATTTATTGCGCCTGGCGGGCGTGTGATGATGACAGCCATGTATCTGTGACGTCCACATATTTGCAAATGTCAATGAGCCGTGTTCAGTAAGCATCTGTCGGTTGGAGGTACATTGTCCACAGGTCGACGCATGTCTCGATGATCGCGCGTGTACTTCCGGCCGAGGTTTGAAAATGTTGAGTGTGTCGGACCCCAGGCGTCGTCTGCATCCAAAGTATCATTGAAAGGTTGCTGTGCCGTGACCTGGAGCCTCATCGATTTCCATTCGGGCCAACTTCTACATTAGGCGTTTAAAGTTCGGGCTTTTGAATCGGAATGCTCACTCCGATTCGTCTGGAAAATGCGGTGAATATGGCGCTTTGATACGCGGATTGCCAGCTGAACAGCTCCGTGGGGAGCGTGCTGAGTACCGGACAAGGGGTGCGTGGGCTGCTCGTGAGGCGCAGCACCGGCCTTCCCTGAAGTGGAGCAGGTGACCGGCTGTCCATACACGGCTCAGAGGCTTCTGCTGATGACGGGTCAGAAGCCTCTGAGTCTACACGCAGCTCAGATGCTTCTACTGGTATCGGAAGGTTGCGTCAGTTTCATGACATGCTGGAGCTTGGCTTGAGGGAAAGATAGCAGTGCAAGGTTTTGGTGGCGTCGCGTCCGGCATTCAAGTCATTTGCTCTAACCAGAGTTGTGATAAATCGAATGGCGAGCTATCTGTGCTTGATTTGCCGAGATGTTCAGCACTATTGGGTGTTGTAACGATTAAAACGTGCGCAAGGCACGGTGCTAACTGCATATTTTTTTTGTTCAGATATCCGATGTCTCACATGCTGAGAATGTTCTATGAAGCTTTGTTATAAAATCAGAATAACTGGCAGACAGCAGCACAGAGACTGCAAGGATGGTTAAAGCCACAAACGTGCTTTTCTCCGGTGCGAGGTTCCTGGAGACGACATAAATTAACGATGTCTGCCCAGTCCGATGGTCGTCTCTGGCGTTGTCGTTCATGATTGACGGTGATATTTACTTGTTCTAAACATTTGTTGCCAGGGATTACTGACTCGCTCAATGACTGGCTGAGTGACTCGCTCGCAATTCGTCTTCCTCGAAGCTGTGCTTAAACCCTTGGCCTGTTGTTTCCGGGTAATATACAGAGTATCGCCGTAAGGCCACGCTGACATGACCTTTATGGAGTGCACATAGCACGGTGGCGATGTGTATCCCTTTTACGTAGTGGAACTGTTCGGACATTCAACCATTATATTCTTCATTTCTGGAAAGCTGCTGCATGTTTTGAAGTGATCCTATGACCTGTGGCCCACACTATCTGCTGGTTAGTTGTTCGGTGGGTAAAGAAACGCACCATGAAACACACCAGTGGGTTTGGTGGGCCTCGGGGATGAGGGTCGTGGGGACAGATTATAATGTTCAGGAGTGTAGTTTCCCTTCCCGTTTGAGGGAGGGGGCGGGACTTGGTCTCCCCAACCTGGTCCCCCCCCCCCAAGCTTTGAGATGGAAATGGACTAACACGTTTTTTTGATGATTTTGAAAGGTTTTGTCATTTTCACCGCTCAGCCCCCCTCCACTCAACTTATATTCGAAACTACACTGTTGATGATGCTTGACTCTGCTAACAGCTGAGAATAAGCCATGCATTGAATTTCCATGTCAGCATCCTGGGTATGACAGATCATCATAGATCATCGTAGATTGTCATATATCAACGTAAATCATTATAGATCACCATATGATGATGTGGTGATTTTAGTGACGAGTCATCATGTGGCTAGGTCGTTGGTGATATCATCAAGTCGTATACTTTTCCCATCCGACTGTGACCCTTTCCCGTCTGACCGTATTCCTCCCGTCTGGCTGTGCCCCCTCCCATCTGACCTCGCTGCCTCCCGTCTGACCGTGCTCTCTCCCGTCTGACCGCGCTGCCTCCCGTCTAACCGTGCTCTCTCCCGTCTGATCGTATCCCCTCTGTGTGGCCGTGCCCCCTCCGTCCGACTGCACTCTCTCCCGCCCGACCGTGTTCCTCCCGTCTGACCGTGCCCGTTCCGTCTGCAGGTGATCGTCTGGAGCGCGTGAACGGCGCACCGGTGAGCGTGGCCAGCCTGCCGGCCGTGCTGGCCGCTCTCCCGCGCCGAGGCAAGGTAAACACGCCACGACGCCCGTCCGATTTCATTAGAGGCCAGCCCGGCACGTGCCACGTCCCGTCCCCAGCCGGCCACTGTGATCTTGGCCGCGCGTCGGCGATTTATGAAAGCTCGCCGGCTTCATATGGGTGGGCGAGCAGAGTTAGAGGCGGCGCTCCGGCGCTGTTGGATGTGGCGGGCTTTCGATTGCACTTCATCCGCGTGCCTTGGGGTCGACGAGGAAACGCCGCGTAAGCCGCCCGGGTGTTTGTGCGTGCGATGTTGTTCAGTTTTCCAGAGACAGGGCCTGTGGAAAACAGACTCAGATGGATTCTTGGAATGTATGCGCTGGGAAATGGGTTTATGATCCGGATCAGCTATTCATCGCAGCGTGTCGGACTCATACATTGCTTGAGTCTGATAATGCTTCGCAGATGTTTACAGCATTTCGTTTGCCGGAAGTTAGTTGGTTCCGAAAGGAGAAGAACCCTACATTCTGTCATTTGCAGATCCATCGGTGTTATAATACAAGATATGCCACGTTACTATATAGGTATAGGCCTACAATCCTTTAATTTTTTAGCTACACGCTCAGTAGGGTGTGCAGACTTTTTCAGGGTCATTCAGTCATGCATGGCGGCATGGCAACGTCATTCAAATCCTGCCACCTCATCATGCGGCGTTCAAGGCCAAAAATAAGTTAAGCGTTGAGGCGTTCAGGTCTGGCCTGTAAGCAATATTTCCAAGTATTACGGACAACAACTTGTCATCCATAAAAACTGAGCAACTTGTGCAAGTTTCAGTCATGAATCGGGTTTTGTGCTGCATAATGTAAGAAGTTGGGCATGAGTGCTAGTGTTACAGAAATAAGACTTGTAATCGAATAACATAAGAAGAGCGTCACGACCGAGAGTGTGAATGCAAGTAAACCACTTAAACTTACGAAACTGCTCAAACTGCTCGTAATCGAATAACGTAAGATGAGCGTCATGACCGAGAGTGTGAATGCAAGTAAACCGCTTAAACTTACGAAACTGATCAAACTGCTTGTAATCGAATAACGTACGATGGGCGTCATGACCGATAGCGTGAATGCAAGTAAACTGCTTAAACTTATGAAACTGCTTAAACTGCTTAAACTGCTTAAACGGATAAATATGCAAGACCACCATGAGAAGGGGCCAAAACAAAAGCATATGACCGCATTCGGCCGAGCGAATTTTTATGGCACCGTGCTGCCATCTCTAGACAAGTCTGAAGTACTACAGGCGAGTTCAAGGGCTAATTTCGCGCGGCTAATTTGGCATCACCCCAACATCGCACAAACGTTCCATGATACAATAAAAAAAGAACGCATCGATAAGTACGCGCACTGCAAGGAGAAATTATGTTGTCTTAAGCAGTCTTTTTCACTTAAAAGCGCACCAGTAGTTACGAGTGAGCTTATTTTATCACGTCTGATGCTGTGTTCAGTGTCCTTAAAGGTGGGAGATGGTAACTTTGGTAGTCGTTTATGTTACGAACACTCGCTAATGGATGCTGTTAAAAATGATTGGCCTTGATTACACAAGGAAGTGCTGATTAAACGACTTATGAGGGAACCATTGGATTTAAGTTATCAGAGGCGTCAAAATATTTTTAAAACAGTGTTCATGATCAGGAATGCTTACGGTGAAGAGAAAGCATAGAATCGTAAACCTAAGGTACATGAAAGAAAGAAAACGTTCCAAATCTATGCAGACCATACCAAAAGACAACAAAATAATCAGTCGTTCCACCTCTCACACCTTAAATCATATACTGTGGTACTTATGCACGCTGTGCCAAGGGTTGTTTCATATTTAAACAGCATAGCTGAAAGCTGATCCCCTGTGCCGAGCATAAGGCTGGGAAAGAGCTTTTTATAGGTCATTAGTGTCCACTCCGTTGTAATAAGTAACTTGCTGCAGATCGGCATGTGCAGAACGGCTGGCAAACGAGGTCTAAACGTACGCTTTCCGAAAACGCCGCTCAAAACAGGTCCGCAGACGTTGATTTCCTTGGTCTCGGACAAAGATTACGGATGTGCAGAGGTTACAATATCTTGTATTCTGCATTGTCTTGTGTCGCTGCTGACATTGTTACTGTGAAGTAAGTATTTACTGCGCCATGCTCGCGTGTCGTGTGTCTGTCGATCAGGTTCTTCGCTGGTGGTGTAAACACTGCAAACGTGCGTCCCCCAGGTGTTTCCTAAACCGGTGTGGAATGCTACGTTTATGTGTTTGCTGTGGCGAAGTTCACAAGATACCTGATATACTGTGTTCTTGGGTGTGCATTTTCCATTCAGCCCATTAACGCATGTATGGCGTAAGATGAAGCGTTTTGCGTGACCTCAGGACATTGTGGACCAGCGGCCTGAGTTTGAAATTCATTCCATCTTGATCAGCCGTGGGGATCCTAGCGTTTCCAGCTGGAGTAGAATTTATCACATACGTGTTAAAGGGAATGTTTCACTTTTGAAGGCATTGGAGTAAGCATCAGATATGATGGAGCAAGCTCACATATAACCATTTGTGTGCATTTTGAATAGATATGACTGCTCTAGACAACGCAATTTCTCTGTTTAGTAAATTTGTTTCTCGATGCGTCGTTGTTTGATCTCGTTATCTTACCTCGCACAGTATTTTTAGTGACGATTATATGTATCTTTCAGGTTTCCTTTGGTTTTTTATTTGCCTTTTTATTTACACTTACTTTCCGCATCTTTGCGACCTTTAAGCTCAGGAATCGGAGGGTGTTAGGTTTTTAAAAAGCATGGCCACGAGCTGCATCGAAAGGTCTTCAATATGACTATTTCATTTCAAAACCCCACACAAATGTGGAACGCTTCCTTTAAAAGGCGTATTCCATATTGCATGCGGCTTTACTGAAACAACCATCTTGAAGGTCATTCGGTGCATTTCGCATCCTTACTCTTCTTGAGACCTAAAGCCATCTAGTTCCTGCGCTACGCGTCCACGAATGTGTGCAAACTATTTCGGGAAAACTATTTCAAGACCACCCAGGCATCCATGATGCCATAATAACGACATTCAAATCCAACCGGTCTCATAGCTACGCAGCGATCAAGGCTCATACAATTTAATTGTCGTAACGGCTGTGAATTAGCTCTCAATCATTGTTGTGCAAGTTACGGTGATGTAATCGAGCAGTGGCGTATTAAGGAATATATCTACTAAACTGAAAAATTGTGTTGTCTAGAGCAGTCTTTTCTACTTAAGAGTGTACCAATTGTTATAAATGAGCTTATTTCATCCTATCTGATGCTTGCATCAGTATCTTGAAATGTGGAACATTCCCCTTTAATGGCTTGACAGAAAAAGCTTACTGAATGCGGAAGCATACGGTATGTTCTTACATACCATGTGAAATCCTGGTATATAATACTTGTAACCTTTATGCCGGTCGCAATCCTGCGGCCGGTAGACCGGGTGGGTTTTCAATCATGTCGACAATGTAATGAACCTATTGACATTAAAGAAGTGTGAAATCTCTTGTAAACTTTAACCTTGGTATGTATGATCTAAACTTGTCTGCCCGGTTGGGACATACACACGTCCGCCAACCTACCCGTGACAATGTGGCTGGATTCGAGTTGGTTCGCCGCGCGCCAGTTGCCTCTAGCTGCGATTGCCCGCGACAGGTGGTAGCGGCTAGTCAAGGTCAGAAGAGGTCAAAGGAGGGGCGGGTACTGCCGAGCATTGTGGCACGTTAGACTTCCGCTGCTCAACTGGAATTTTCGGATCGGATGGTGGGGTCAGGGCTCACCAATGAGGAATGCTGAGCGTGAACTCTCGATCCTAGAAATCCATTCAATCGAAATGTTTTCATGATATATATATATATATATATATATATATATATACATATATATATATATATATATATATATATATATATATCATGAGAACATTTCGATTGAATGGATATATATATATATATATATATATATATATATATATATATATTAAATTATACAATAATAATAAAAATATATATAATGAACACGTTTCGATTGAATGGATATATATATATATATATATATATATATATATATATATATATATATATATATTAGATTATATAATAATAATAAACATATATAAATAAATATGTATAATATATATATATATATATATATATATATATATATATGTATTAAAAACCGGAAACACTTGGCAGACACGCGGTATTTGAGCATAGTAACACAAACCCCGACTTCAAAGTCGAAATTTCGGCAACGGTGCGAGACGACGCGGAACTCAAGATATAAGTATCGCTGCTCACCTATGAGTATTGCTCGTGGGGCGATACACGAACATCGTCTGTAGACGCGATTTGACCGGCATCTTTTAGGTCAGGCATGTCTAGATGTAGTTCACTAGCCGCTGCTTTGAACAGGTCTTGTAGCGAGTTGCTTAGTAAACGGGGAATCACTGATGCTCGGCAGGTAGTTACCGTCAGACCCAATATTTGGCGCTTTCATCGAAACGTTTCGACCTAGCCGTTTGCGCTTCGGGCGGCCCCTAGCACGGTGCCGGGTGTCGGATGTTGGTGGGAGCCGGAATGAACACAATGATACTCTTGGAAAGTGTATTTTTTACCTGGCACTCGTTGCCCGTTATTCGTCATTGAGGCATTTCGGCCCAGCCATCTGTGTTTCAACAGCCTCTAACATATAACCACCTTTCTCTCGTTACGACGTGAGAGCTCGGATGGTTTATTGCCATGGGATCATTTTATTGGCTGATAAGATTATCTATCTTGACACACGATAAAATTTTTACTGACCATTTGTTGTCTAAGCTGCTTTCTCATGACCATGAGCACTGCGTCGGATTTTCTCATAATACGTATCGACGACCGCTTGTTAAATTCGGCTATTCAGTGTATCTACTACATTGAAGGGCGGTGAGCATTAACATAATACATATAATTTCGGAAGGTATTTTGAAGCTAAGAGCTCATAATATCGAAACATTAGGCGTTACAGATATTTGTTGGCTTGCATTTTAAGTAAAAGGACTGGTGCGACATGTCCCATGTCAGACCGCTGTGCTGTTAGACTGCTGTCAGGCTGCTGTATGTCATGCATGTGTGTGTGTCAGACTGCTGTCCTGCAGCGCCATAATGCGTAGCAAAACTTCTGTCAAGCGTTGTGAAGTAAGCAAGCCAAGGCTTGAGCAGTTTACGTAATTCATGTTGATTAATAGCGAGGCCGCGGGCCGTATGCGCCTTGCCTGAACTGTGAGGAGATGCTCAACGTGATCGGCCCAGGCCGGCCCGGTCGTCAGACTCTTTGGGAGCCAAAAACTTTTGCGTGCGAGTGCGGCACGCTCTGCCTCTAAATCGAGTAAGATGGGATGTTGCAAGATATTCTGGCTCGTTCATTGCTACGTAAGTCCACCCAAAGCATGCGTGGTTTTTTGGGTTTTGTCGACTAAATTGCCGGGGCTGGCCAGACGCATAGCCAGTCAACTGACGAGCGTTGTGAACGTGGTAGGTGGGCGCGCGGCCTCAGCATTAGTAAGCCTGTCTGTCGTGTTATCATGGGATCTCAACGTTTCGAAGGGTGGACCAGGCCCATCGCATGGCTTTCCAAAGCGTCCGGCTCCATAAGACTATATTCTTTGCATCATCTGCACGACGATAGAGGACAGCCCGCGCCTACCGTGACCTGGCCCGACTCACGCCGCTCGTGGCGTCTTGTTGGCTCATGATTGATATTATATCGACATTATGTTGTCTCATGATTGACGTGGAACACCAGTTAACGTTAAGGATAACGGGGCAAGGAGCACGCGAGTATGTCATGGTTGGACCGTGGGTTATCGTCGGGCTGGGCACGGCCGTACCGATCCCCGCCCCTTCGACGGCAGGCTCCGGCTGTCATTCTCAGCACTGCTCCAGTCAAGAAGTTATTCACAAGTTGCTACGGTGGCGCACCCTGATGGACATATCTGAAGTAGCCCGACCGTCTGTTATCCAATATCTGTTGCTGGGCTGATCCACGGGGCGGGAGGCGCCTGCGCCTTCTGCATGACCGGCGCACCGGCCGCCGACCCGTCTGGAAAGCGGGACTGGGCGTCCGTGCGTTCATCACGCAACGTAGCCGCGGCTGCCGGCTCGTTCCGAACCCCACAATTGTCAGCACCGTGGCTGGATGCGCCTGTGTCAGTCACATGCCGGATCGAATGCCTCAACAGCAGAAATGACAGATGCCAGGGGGTCAGCACCGCGGCTCACGTTTTGTCCAGAATTGGACATCACGTGACGCGTGTGATGAGGATCGGGACCTGGCATGTCGGTATCATGTCGGCCTGCGGCGATGTCTGAGGTCGTGGACCTCATTCGACATGGCTTTTAGCAGTTTGCCCGTTTAATATGCACGTCGCGGTCGCTATGCTGATTTATGGTCTCCTTGATGGTCTCTAAGGGTCACGACGCTGTGCACTTGCATGCAAATTTGCGATTCAGGACGGCGCCCTCCAATCTTCGTGCTCGGTGCGGAGCGAAGGATAGGCTGTTACAAAGTCGGGAGTCTGGGCCGCACACAATCGTCCGGTTTTACCAGCGCTTGGGTGTAGCGGGGATTGTGTTGCGGACGCGCCGATCCAACACTGGTTTTTGCCCGTATTCTCGCTTCCTACCCCAACACACGTTTCTCACATGTTCCCTTCGGCGTCGTTCTATAAGCGGTGCATGCAGTATGCTGACGACGTTGATGCCAGCTGACCATGAGTTTTCAAGCTTCACGTGACTTGGAATGGCATGCCTGCGTGCGCTATTTAGCAATTGCTGTCGGTCTGTTGATTGGGGTTATGGCATTTGGCGATGCTTTTGACGTCCTGCTAAAGCACTCGCGTACGTTGCCGTGCTACATTACTGTTATTAATTACTGTCCGACAGTATTATTCGCCCGTGACTGATATGTGATATGACAGATCAATACCTTTCGGCTTACTATCGGTCGGACGGGGACCGTTTCACCAGAATCCCGGTCGCAGCTGTCAGGGCGCCCGTCGTGTTGTGTTTCCGACCGGCCCGCTCCGCCGATCGCTACCTGTTTGCTGCGCCGGCCGACCGCGCTGCGCCCAGCAGAGCGTGTGCACCTCATCTCGCTGCCGCGCCGCTCGCGCCCCTCAATCGGCCGACGGGGGCCGCTTGTGAGCGGGAGCGGGTGGCGGAGCGACGGCAGAGCTGCCGCCGGTGAGCCGGCCGCCGCGCCGCCAGCTCTCGGCCGGACGGCGGCGCCGGCGGCCGCGGTTTAGCAGCATTGATCGTCGGTCGGCCGCAGCGCGCCGGTGTGTATGCGAGACGGACCGGCCGATATCGACGCGCCGACTAATGACGGCCATTCCGGCCGCTCAGAGGCCGCCTCGAGTGACAAACAGGTGGGCCATCGGCGCCGGTGGGCAGAGCGCGCCGGTGGTCGAACTGCGCCGCTCCGGTCAGCGACCGGCAGTCGCTGCTCTGACTCGGTCAGCGGCCGGCAAATGCTGCTCTGACCTGGTCAGCGGCCGGCAGCCGCTACTCTGACCCGGCCAATGGTGGGCAGCAGCTGCTCTGACCCGGTCAGCGGCCGGCAGCCGCTGCTCTGACCCGGTCAGCGGCCGGCAGCCGCTACTCTGACCCGGCCATTGGTGGGCAGCAGCTGCTCTGACCCGGTCAGCGGCCGGCAGCCGCTGCTCTGCTCTGGCCTTCGCTGCGGCGCTGACCGGACTGCTGGACCGCTGGATGATGTGGCATCATTGTGAGACGTCTCAGATACTCTGGCACCTCATGGCGACATAGCGGTCTCCCCATTAAGTCTTCCCATTCTCGGTTTTCTCGGTAGGTGTCTTTTTAACCACCCCGCTCCTCGGAACAATGCAGTCTCCTTGAGTAGGGTGTTAATTGCAGATTTACGGTATTTCATGAAAAGTATGGTCTCTGACACCGGTGGCAATTGTGCCCCGGACATCAGCAACACAGTTTCTCGTTTGTTAGGGGAACAGGTCACCCCTCCAATCCATTTCCAGCCCACGTCGCGCAAGTCGAAGCTTGATCACAAGTCGGCGCACCCTTGACTCGGCGGCAACACAGTCGGCGCGCCCCTAAGCCCAAATCATCGTCAACATTAATGTCATCATCATCATCATCGTCATCATCATTATCACCATCGTCATCATTATCATCATCATCATTATCATCATCATCAGTATCATTTTTGCTTACAGGCGTAGGGCGTTGAAATGCCTGTCAATGTCGCATCCTTTCCGAATAGTCCGCTAGTCAGCCAGTTTCCCTAGATATATTTTTCTGCCGTGCTTAAGTTGTTGGTCATCTTACACCACACACCTTCGAATCGTGGTGTTCGTGTGACTGATAACCGCAAAGTGCATCCATCATGTGACAGATTCGAGACCATTAAGTCAGATGCATTAAACGTAATGCCAATTTTGTCATCCAGTGACACTTTAAGATGACGCTTGTACCTACTTTCGTCTGAGGGATCGCCACGTAATGGAAGTGCGGCAAGTCAGATTGTCATGAGATGGGTGTCGAACCCGGAGCTCTCCATCAACAGACAGACGCTCCAACCCTTATCAGTGACTTACGGCCTATGCGAAACATTCAGTGGCATGCTTTGCGATATGAAGCAGAGGGAAGCGTTCTAAACCGCAGCAATCACATCATTTTGTACGCCACTGAACTGAGCTGGTCGTTCGCGCCTCTCAGTTACGACACACTTCAATCTGCCTTCCCCCCGGACACTGCTTACCGCGTTGATGTCACGTCCACCAGGTCAAGCAAAAGCTTGACAAATCAATTTACTTACCAAACACAGCGTTGACTTTTACTCCAAACAGCTCCTTGAAATTTGCCGCTTGCCAGGCCTTCCCTTGGGCCAGCCTGTTGCCCTGTTACGCCGTAGCAATTGTTTCGGACGTAATGCCTAGGTCCGTTAGCGACGCAGTCATTGCATTTTTTCATGCGACGGCTGGTGTAATGCCCAGCAGCTGTCGCGAACTGCTCCCGAGTGTCGTCGCTTGAGGCGCGCCGAGACCCGCGGGAGCGCCGGCGCTCCCGTTACAGGTGACGCTGACGATGCGGAGCGGCGCCCCGGCGTCCTCTGACGGCGGCGCGCCGGCTCTGATGGCGCTCCTGTCACAGGTGACGCTGACGATGCGGAGCGGTGCTCCGGCGTCCTCTGACGGCGGCGCGCCGGCTCTGATGGCGCTCCCGTTACAGGTGACGCTGACGATGCGGAGAGGCGCCCCGGCGTCCTCTGACGGCGGCGCGCCGGCTCTGATGGCGCTCCTGTCACAGGTGACGCTGACGATGCGGAGAGGCGCCCCGGCGTCCTCTGACGATGGCGCGCCGGCTCTGATGGCGCTCCCGTTACAGGTGACGCTGACGATGCGGAGCGGCGCCCTGGCGTTCTCTGACGGCGTCGGCCGGCACGCGGCGCCGGCCACCAACGGCTCCACACACCAGGTCAGCGGTGTTGGCGCACGGGTCTGTGAGGTGTAGGATCACCCGATATGGCGCTGATCACTGTATGTGGGTCGCGTGAGGGTAACGAGTGGTCTGTCCGTGTTGCGTCACCCGTGCTGATGGCTTGGTTTTGCTTTATGCCCGCTCACTCCATGGGATTATTGGCTTCTTAACTTTTGGCTCCAGAGGCGGAACTTGGTGAAAGCTATGCGGCAGAACTTTACTTAAATTATTGGGGCAAGAGGCACAACATTATTTAATGTCAGTTATGTTCGCACGCTATCCACGTCAAAATAGGCCCCTGTAAAACCTGAAACACTTTGTGAAGGAAGGGGACTGGGGAAAGGGGGGGGGGGGGAGCCCCAATAGTTCATTGTTCAACCATGTTCTACTCCTTGCTTTTTAGCTTCCTGCTTTGCCTTGCGGACATACTGCATTAGACACACTGACACCAAAATCGTGAGGCTTTACCTTTGAGTCGCTCCTTTTATGAACCGATCGTGTCGCCATGCAATCGTCAGTCAGCTATTGAGCTTCAAGGGTGCGTCAGCTGTATTGGTTATTTGCGCCAAAGTGGCCACGTAATCGTGGTCACCTTGACGTCCGGTTTTTATGGCCGATACAAAATCTTCCGCCCCAGACCCGCTCGATACGCATCCGTTCATATCTTGGCGCGAGTTTTAGCAGCGTATTGAGAAACGAAAGGTATCCTACGGAACTCATCTTACTACGGGCCGTGATGAAAGCAAGATCTTGCGGGTGGTGCGAACGTGTAATGACATTTTCCCCAAAACACATTCCTTTTTACCCAGACCACCGCGATTAATACAGGCCATGTCATGAGCATGCCCTACACCATGGTCCGAATTCCAGTTTTGGCGTCCAAGTTCTGTCAGAACAAGACGAGATAGCGATCACCGGTTAAGGTGACCTGTATTTACACATGTATGCGTTATTTTCTGTACACATGTATAGGCTTGTCTCAAAACGGCCTTTCCATATCTAAACACTTATTGTGGATGTCGAGAACAAGCCGCCACCATTGCCCAGAACGCTGCGCCCTGTGGCGAGTCAGAGAAACTGAACACCTCGGATGCCCCTGCACCCACCGGACCTCCCCGTAACAGACGTCGGCACGGGCGAGGTCCCCAGCGTCCACACCATTAAATGCGCCGGCAGCTCCTCCCGCCTTCTACATCGCACGGAGTGACGAGGGCATAGATGGAACCGCCGCCAAGCGGTCCTCAGTGTTACTGTCTGAATACGATGGGAGCTGGAAAACACGTCTGTTCACCGTGCCGCAGTCACACTTAGTCCCTATCTCAGGTCTCGCTTACTATGCAGGTATTCAGCTTTGCTGGTCCGGTGATCGGTTGGGCTCGTTGGTCTGTGGCGGCTGTTTGCTAGCGGGTGAGGATGGCAGGGAGCAGGCCATCAGGCAGGGTAGCCATCTCGAACTGCATCGCACCACCTTTTCGCCCATGACATACCGTACGCATGATGTGCAAATGGCGTTCAGCTGAGATTTGGAAGTCTCAATCTGCTCTCACCGGGGCTGGAGCCCCCTCCCAACATTGAGAAGAAATGTGGCGACTGTTGGGGAGTAATCTGTTTGTTGGAGTCTTTTGGAGGTACGTCGCGTTATTCCTCACGGATCTTCCCCCCCCCCCCCCCCCAATTCATCGTGCGACACTTCACCCCCAGTTCCTATAATGCTGGGGATGCTCCGAGGCAGGCCTGACTGTTGACAACTCGCAACTCGCAATGTTGATGTCGCTGACAACGGGTAATGTGACCTGGTCATGGCATACAGAAGGCTACTGACATCAATTTGCTAACATGCTATTTTTCGGGGGAAAAGAAAAATAGCGCAACTAACTAAAGTGACTGGGGTCTGGGCCTCACCAACTCCAGTTATCACTGAGAAAGGATTCCGATCCTAGTCATCACAAATAAATCGTTTGACCAATGCCAGGCTGGGATAAGTTGGTGTGTCAAAGTCGGCGCAAGGGATTCAAGATTGAGAAGACGCTGCAACTGCGGCATTTTTAGGAGGCTTGGTGCAGCCGCTGCCTCACCTCCTCAGAGCATTGGCGTAACCTCAGGATGTGCGCAAGCGAAGCAAAAGGGAACGAAGTGAGGCGCGCTCCCGCGCGCGCGATCCTCGTTGAATCGTTAAATTTCCAGAATCTCACGGAAAGAGAGAGTGCACATGTGATCACATTCTGAAGCTGTAGACGTTGGAACATCCGTTGTGAAATATTGAGAATGCGAGTCTCCGTTATTGCACATTTAAGTACAACAAAAGTGGTATTGCGCTGAGTGGTCACCTTCCTTACATAATGAGTTTATTTACAATGTATTCAATTTATTGCTTAAAGTTACCCGAAGTTTCAAAATGTATTTGGGTTAATGAGAGGATTTCAGTTATGTATTTTTATAATCAGTTTTTGATAGGAATCCTTTAGCACAGTGATAACGCAACGTCATTTTAAGCGAATTTGGTAACAATAGATTGGTAAGAAAACTGCATACAGTGCTTGAAAACGATGTTGTCATGTTGAGACCGTGGCTCCTGTTCCCACTGAGCACAGACCTCGGGACAGCCAGAAGCTCAGGCCAGGGAATGTCGCGCTGACGTTTACAATGCGATGGGTAGTTTTCATTGACTTTGCGCAGAAAGTTGATATTTTTTACACCAAGTCCTTCACTGGACAGACGCAGACAAACGCCAGCCAGGGCATAGGGTGGGATCGATGGTGGTCATGGAAGGGATAGGAGACTGCGAACCAGCTGAGGAGAAGAGGAAATAGATGTTTGTGTGGGGAAGAAAGGTGGAATTCGGGTTTTCATTGGTTTTTGCTTGACTTCTGAAAAAAAACGATCTGCATGCCTCATGACCCCGCCAAGGAGTTCGCGCAGGTTGTAACATGTCCAGTAGGTGATCGTTGAAAGGTGCGGTAGAAACGCTTAACGTTACCCACAGCGAGTCGTGAGTGGCCATCAAATTACGAGACAATTTGTCGTTTCAAAACTAAATGCTCGATGACTGCTGCTATAAACTCCATGTAATCTTGTTCCGCTGAATATATGTGGAGCAATCTCTTTTTGTGAGAACAAGAAAGAGAGCACCAGCAATTCCCACCTTGGCCCACACCCACACTTCGATCTCGGCGCCGATCTTAGGCGGGTCGACAGCGCTTAGCGGTGACGTCAGTCGGCTGAGTCGATGGGTCGTGACGTCGGTACTACTCTGGTGATGTCAGGAGTGGACAGGAACGCCAGCACTGGTGCCGGTCGGGAGTCCTGTGGGAAATCAGCCGGCGCGGCTTTCGTCCCTTGAGTTAGATCACTATGGATTGTTTGTTGCAATCATCCCAAACCAACGTTTTCTTGTGGCTATGTATAGAATATGTGTATGGATTTTGCTCTACTTTTGCGACCTTTGTCGGTCCGCACATAGTTTTCCATTGCACCCACAGAAGTTTAACGTTGATTTGTTGAGTTGCCGGCGGGCTGTTGCTTTGTACACGAAGCCACAAAGCGACTGAAGCATTTGAGATGTTTCAGATTTTTCAGGCCGTGCAGTTTTGGTGCTCCCGTCATCGCAACTCATAGCTCTTGTTAAACTTCTCGCCAGTAACATCTTTTAACTTCGTATTTTGTGGGCGCTCCTAAGCTTCAATGGCTTTCAACGGGGACGAACACTCGCCCCGCGCCGTTTGCTTCGTCCCACGTCTGACGCCGCGGGCGGCCCGCCGTCACGACCGCGGGCGGCCCGCCGTCACGACCGCAGGCAGCCCGACGTCACGACCGCGGGCAGCCCAACGTCGGCGACGCTGGCCGCAGGCGACCGCAGGTTCGCGTCGCGTCGCGCGGCGCCTGGCGCGTGGCCGCCGCGTCGCATGTCCACGTAATGGGTTTGCGATTTCCCGGCGGCCGATCGGCGCCAGTGACGGAGTGGGCTGCCGCCGCCGCCGCCGCCGCCGCCGCTCGGTGCCGGCCCGGCCGGTCGGGCGGCCACGCGCGAGCATCGGCCGCCGGGCGCCAGGCGCTCGTCCATCCTGTGTCGCGCTCTCTGCCAGATATCGTTATGACTGTATCGGGCCACGCATCGTTGGTCGGCGATGGCCGCTGCCCGGTGGGCAGTGGACGCCTCATCAATCAGACGGTCCGCTGCGATCGACAGTAGAGCCGCATCAGAGGCCAGCGCCCGTCATCCCCCTCCCCCCCCCCAATCCCCCAGGCCGGAGACCGGCAGCAGTCCCGGTCTCCGTTCTCCTGGAGACAGCAGCGCTCCAGAACCCACGTGACGGTTGAGAGCATGCCGATGTTGTAGTGTTTCAGTATTCCCTTCGCTACGCACACGATAAAAGTGAAATTGCGGTGGGAGCCATGACTTGGTTGTCTCTTCAAACTCGCTTAAGGCGGCGACCTTTGTTTTGTGGCGGGGAAGCTCATCACCTGTTTTGTGGCGTTGTCCTAGATTGAGCGGTTGGCCGCGATAACCGGTGCTCCTATGGAGCGTCATGGGAAATAAATGTGCATGCATGGTGTCGGTTATTGCACGCGCTCATTTCACCACATTTTCATGGACGCACTCCAATGCACACCGTCAATGCGCTTGGCGCCGTGTGATGTGTGGGCATCGTGCTCTGTGCAGACTGCCTGTGTTTGATTGTAAAGTTTATCGATTGCTTAATTAGCGACTTGAGTGGATAATGTCAGCGGCGATTACGGGGTACTTCCGCGACACGTTTCAACTGGACGCATGCATTAAACCTACCTCGAATGTCAAAAGTGGGACAGCATTCTTGCTAGCTAATGCATCCGCTTTAAACACTGAGTAATAGCATCGCCTGTCTTTTGGACGATGTGCATAATCTCGCTAACTGTTTTGCTAGGCTTCTACCATGTTTTCACTAATGAATGTTGACTTCTGAGCGTTATGTGCGATTTCAGTTGCTTGGCACATTTTTGCAGCTTGTAAGTAGGATTTT